CCCCAAAACCCCAAAACCCCAGACACTCTATTTTCATATCTTTATAGAATAGAATAGAATAATCAATTTTAGTTTTCAAAGAATATAGACATCAGTTGTATTTTCTACCTCCTTGGTTTCCGCCCTGGTAGCCCTTCTTGTTTCTGTAGGCTTACTGAATTTTGGTGGCAGCTTCTTCTTCGGCTTCTCCTTCAACTTGATTGCTAGCAAATTGCTTCCAAAGGTTCTCGAACTCAGTACTGTACTTTTCAATATAGTATGGGTTATCAACAACTAGTAGATTCTCTTGGTTGCTCTTTCCAGCTTGAACTGTCCAGTTGAATGAACCAGTTATAAGGAATGTATCATCAATAATGACGAATTTATTATGCATGTGGAATTGGGAGTTGCTGTCGACTCTGCAAGGGACTCCTTGTCCTGCTAGCCACTTAACATCACTTCCAATTTGGTTCATACACTCGTCATCTGAAATTACTCTAACTTTCACACCTCTTGCATGAGCGTCGTAAACTGCGTTCGCTAGTTTGTCATTTGTCAAACTGAAAATGCAGATACTCATTGACTTTTGAGCTTTGCCAAGATAGTTAATCAATTTGGTAATGTTTGCTTCATTTGGGAAGAAGAAAGCGTCAAGGTATCTTGGCTTGGGTTGAAGGAGATCGTCTTGAACGAGGTTAACATACTTCTTGAGACCCTAAAGGACAGCCTTATCAGCATCATCCTTCATCTTTGATGCAGCTACCTCAAACAACTTGGCGACGACGGCATTGATATTATCCTTAACGTGTCTTGCGGGCATTTTGGAAATGATTCTGGAGAAGTCTTGGACATCAATATCCTTGGCCTCAAAGTTACCTCCTGAGAGAAGAGTATTGATCTGGGTGAGAGATCTATCAACTGAGCTGTTAGCTTGCATTCTTGAAATTATTAATAGAGATATTTAAATATTATATCTTTGACACGAAAGATTCTTACCTAGTTACTTTGGTGAGTGATAACTTCACGGGGTTTTGGGGTTTTGGGGTTTTGGGG